CTCCTCGACGCTCGCACCCTGTTTTTGGACAGGGAAAGTCTTGATGCTCAAACTGGGCCCCTGGCCCCCCGGACTACAACAACAACGGCTCAGACTTCCTCCAAATTTGCTCAGGACCTCCCGTCTGAGACTTCCTCGCATTTTACTCAGGAGCGGCGCTCCCGCCTGAGACTTCCTCACAATTTAGTCCGGGTCAAACTGCGTTGTTGCTCCCCCGGACTACAACGACAACGGCTCCCGCTTGAGACGTCCTTACAATTTATTGAAGAATCGCGTTTTCGCTTTGGATTTCCTGGCGATTAAAAAACCGAACCGCGGCTCCCGCCTGATACTTCCTGACAATGTATTATAGAATCGCGTTCTCGCTTGGGACTTCCTCGCAATTTACCACCGAACCGCTTCGCTTGATATTTCCTCACAATTTATCCAGATGCCGGTCTTCGACACTCAGGAATCGCGCCCCCGCTACATATTGCCTTGTGGTTCAAGCAGGACTCACGCTTCAACGACCCGCCCGCTCGACCCGCCCGTCGGGGCCTGCCCGCCCGACCAGCCCGTTAATGACTGCAGTCGCCGCTCGCTGCCCTTCGCCCGCCTTCGATGCCCCTCGCTGCCCGTACTGGTTCCGCGGTCGCCTTCGCTTGCTGCCCTTCGTGGCCCCGTTGCTGCCCTCAGTGGCCCCGTCGCTGCCCTTTGTGGCCCCGCATTATATGCCCTTCGTGGCCCCCGCTCGCACGCGCCCGTCGTGGCCCCATACGCATGCCCTTCGTGGCCCCGCTGTCGCCCTTTGTCGCCCCCTCGCTGCCCTTCGTGGCCCCTTTGCTGCCCTCAGTGGCCCCGCTGTCGCCCTTGGTGGCCCCGTATACGAATGCCCTTCGTGGCCCCCGCTCGCTCCCGTCGTGGCCCCATATGCATGCCCTTCGTGGCCCCGCTGTCGCCCTTTGTCGCCCCCTCGCTGCCCTTCGTGGCCCTGGTGCTGCCCTCAGCGGCCCCGTCACTGCCCTTTGTGGCCTCAGATTTTATGCCCTTCGTGGCCCACGCTGGCTTTTCTAAGGATTTACGTGGGAATCGCGTTATCGCTCGAGACTTCCTCGCGATTCATGCAGGACCCACGCTTCAGCAATCCGCCTGCTCGACCTCGTCGCTTGGGCCCGCCTTCCCGACCTGCCCGCTATGGGTCTGCCCACCCGATCTGTCCGTCTGGTTCTACCACTTGTTTTCTGCTCCTTGCCCCCCTCCTGCTAATTTCTCTCGTGCTCCATTCTTCTCACTCCCCCTTCCACCCGTCCTCTCTTCCCTTGTTTCAGGGGCTGCACTAAATACACGTGGCAGGTAAGGAAGCTATACCTCCAAGGGCGTACGATCGAAGACGACGAGGGCGGGTACCGAGGGTGTGGGATATACGTATTGCTTGGCACGTGAGCAGATAGGAGCGAACAGTCTTAAACTGATTGTTGTTGTTGTCATTATTGCTGCTACTGCTGTTGCTGTTATTGTTGTTGTTGTCGACGATGCTGATGAGGATGATGCTGCTGCTGCTGATGATGCTGATGATGGTGATGATGCTGCTGCTAATGATGATGCTGATGATGAGGATGTTGTTGAGGATGATGATGCTGGTGATGATGCTGATGCTGATCATGCTGATGATGCTGATGATGCTGCTGCTGATGATGCTGATGACGATGACGATGACAATGACGGTGGTGGTGATGGTGGTGGTGGACGTAATGAGGATGTTGTTGTAGATGATGAGGATGATTAAGATCATGCTGATGATGATGCGTATGGTGATGATGATGATGATGATGATGATGATGATGATGATGATGTGATGTGATGATGATGAAGATGAAGAGATGATGAATGATGAGATGATGATGATGATGATGATGATGATGATGATGATGATGAAAGGATGGATGATGATGATGATGATGATTGATGATGAGATGATGATGGGACGAACGCGACGACGATGATGATGATGATGATGATGATGATGATGATGATGCTGATGATTTACGCTGCTGCTGCTGCTGCTGATGATGATGATGATGATGATGATGATGATGATGATGATGATGATGATGATGATGATGATGATGATGATGATGATGATTACGAGGAGGATGAGGAGGAGGAGGAGGAGGAGGAGACGAGCGCAGAGAGCCAGGACGATGAGCGGGCCACTAGTCTCAGCTTGTTGAGGCGGGAATCTGGTGCGCAGGCGGGGCTAGGAGGCGGATGAGAAGGAGGGGGGAGGCAAGTTTGATGTCTTGTTAGTGTACTTGTTTGGCCTGCTGGGGAGCCCTCGCGGCCACGGCTGGGCGCTGCTCGAACAACTCGTCAGGATGGTTTCCGAGATGTGCCTGGAGACTGCCACCACGCTGGTGTGGACTGCTTCTGCCTCGCCGCCGACGAAAGAAGTGTCTGCTGGAGACTGCTTTTGAGCGAAATTCAAACCTCCATGCGTCGCGGAAAAGAACAAGGTGGACGTTTTCTTATGTGTGTTCAACCTCACGGGGCCATATTCGGGACTTGCAAGCATCAACGACCCTGGACGGGGTCGAACTCTGCGGCCCTCGCCGTGAAAATCACGACAGCGGAGGTCTTTGTTCTTGGGTGCGTGGCTGCAGTGGATCTCCGCGGTGCAGGTTCCAGCTCTTCTCGTTCCTGTTCTCGTTCCCACTGTCGGCGCCCCGCGACACGCCTGCCACCCGCTCACGGACCGCCCCGCTTGCCGATTCCTGCGGCCAATCACGACCCCCCCTTCTGCGAGCCAGGCCGACGCTGGATCGGACGCCCCTGCGGAGGCTCGCCTGGCCGCAGGCGCCCTTCAGACACTGAGCCCCCGCCGGTGCTGAATCAGAAACCTCCTGGCCTGCCGGGGCAGTGCTCACGCGCGATCGCCCGCTGACCGCGACCCGCCCCCACGACCCCCTCGCGAGCTCGCGCCCGCGCCTCGGAGGGCGCCAACGCTTCACCCACACCGATCCTGGCCAGGCCGATCCTCGCTGCAGGACCGTTGTGTGCAGTCAACCCGCACGGCAAGGATGGGCAACCTTCCCAAGGGTACCCTTGCATCCTTGCCCCTCCGGCCCATCCTTGGCGACTTCCGCTGGCCAACCTCGTTCGACAACCTCAGCATGCTACGGGTTGACTGTATACAGTGGGGGCGCGCATCAAGAAACCATATGCTTTTCGTCGGGTTATTCTGGGTTTCTTTGCTCCGCGGGCTGCGCGGTGACTTACCGCAGCCGTTGAACGAGCTGCTGCGTTCAGGGTGCTCTGGGTTTCCCCTCAGGTCCACCTCGCGCGCGGGTTTTCAGGGTTGGGTTTCTTGCGAGGGTTTCTTGCGGCCGCGCCCACACGGTACGCCCTCCTGGCTTGGCCTCCCGCCGCCAGCGAGCCCCGCGACCCGCCAGCGAGGCGCCGCGCCCCGCCGCCGAGGCGCCGCGCCCCACGGGGGCGAGGCACCGCGAGGCCCGCCCGCGCGGCGACGGCCTCCCGCCGCCGCCGCGCGCCTCGGGCGCCCCGCGCACCGTTGCGGAGCGCGTGCGGAGAGCGCGTCGGACGGCGCCGCTGCTGGGCTCCGTGCGTGCGGCTGGCGCGTCCGGGCCGCCGGCGCCGGTGCCTGCGCCGGGCATCGTTGGGTGGGGGCAATTTGAACACATTGCCGATCGGGTACACATCCCCTCCTCCTCCTCCTCCTCCTCCTTCCCATCCTCTCATCCTCCTCCTGTCGTTCCCACCTCTCCTCCTCCGAGTCCCCCTCCTCCTTCTCCTCCTCCTAAGACGCCTCCTCCCCATACTGCCTCCTCACCCTCTCCGCCTCCTAAGCCTCATCCTCTCCTCCTCCTCCTCCTAGTCCCACCTCCTCCTTCTCCTCCTCCTCCTCCCTTCTCCTCCTCCTCCCTCCTCCGCCTCCTCCTCCTCCTCTTCCCCTTCTCCTCTCGTCCTCCTCTTCTCCTCCTCCTCCCCCTCCTCCTCCTCCTCCTCCTCCTTCTCCTCCTCCTCCTCCTCCTCTTCCTCCCTCTCCTCCTCCTCCTCCTCCTCCTCCTTCCCCTCCTCTTCCTTCTCATCCTCCTGCGTGGGCCTTCTGGAAGCGTTGGCTATACACGTCAGAGTTCGGAAGAGGAGAAGGAGGAGGAGGAGGAGGAGGAGGAGGAGGAGGAGGAGGAGGAGGAGGAAGAGGAGGAGGAGGAGGAGGAGGAGGAGGAGGTACCAAGACCGCTGCGCTTCCGTCGTTTTCCCCTCCTTTGGCTTCTCCTGGGAGGCCCTCGTCAGCACTGCTGGATTCGCCTCGAAATCCTGGGCAGAACGCACCCTGGCAGAGGTTCGGGGACTGACAGTATCGGTACCTTCGGATTTCCCCAAGAGTGACTTTTCGCCGACGTGACCTTTGGTGCTGGCACACTGGGACACCCCGATCGCTGACATCGATGAGATAGCAGCGGCTTGTGCGCTTGGGTTTGGCCCCCCCCCCCGCGCCCACCCGAGGTTGCCTCTTGCCTAGGGTCACTCTTGCGTGGAGTCGAAAGCGGCAGGGCCGTTGTTTTTGTTGTTGTTTGTTGTGGTGCGTCTTCTTCTGCGGGAGACTGCCTCTCGATAGTGGACGCGGCAGAGAATCGAGCCACCGAAACGGCAAAAACTGCTCACGGGAACGGCCTGGGCAGTCAGGGGATCCGAGGTGCGGTCGGGGCCAGTTCGAGAACGGTCTGGATCCTGCAGGCAAGCGGTGATCTGGACCAGGCCCCCGCCGGCGGCAGCGAACACGGCAATGAAAACGCAAAGGTTTGCGCCCACGAAGGCCCGCGAAGGCCCACGAAGGCTTGCACCCACGCAGGCTTGCGCCCACGAAGCCCCTGCCGTTCCCAGGGCCCACGGAGGCCTGCGCCCCCGCGGAGGTCCTTCGGCGGGCGCGCCGCGGGCGCGCCGCGCGCCTCCGCGGGCGCCGCCGCCTCCTCGCGCGCGCGGGGGGGTGGCCAGCCGCAGAGGTATGCCAGCGGGTCGCTCGCGGACTGGGAGAGGACGGCGTGCCGGGCGTTGCGTCGGCGGCGCGCTTGGGGGAGGATCGACTATACGTAAGATCCAGACCCACTCGGGCAATGAAAACTCACGACGGGAGGTTTTGCTGCCATTTTCGCCCTCTGGGGGCCCTTACCGGCCCTCGGGACCGACAGAAAACGACTCAGGATGAAAAACCGGTCCAGGGGAATGGGTCGAGACCTCCAGGGGTCGACGCAATGAACAAATCATGACGTCGGGGGGTCTGGGGAGTGACCCTTCGCCAGAGTGACTGGCACTCTGGGGTCTCCCGACCGCCGAACGCGATGCGATAGTAGCGCCTTGCGCGCTTGGGTCTGGTCCTCCCCCCGCGCTCCCCCCAGAGCCGCACACCCAAAGGTCACTCTTGCCCAGGGTCACTCACTTTAAACGGAGAAGGTTAAAGGCGAGGTATAAATCGAGCATGTACCGCTGCCGTGCCTGGCTCAAGCCGGGCCCGGCCTAATATGTGACTGTGCCTCACCGAGGCGCACTACTTGCATCAGAGATCGGAAAACATCCTTTCCATTGACGATGCCCATCTTACTCTTTACTCCAGATCCCATGCTTCGTCTCGCTCTCTTGCTCATGCGCTATGAGCCTAAGCCTGGGATATGGAAGCGCCTAAGGCGGACTGTATACCTAAGCTTCCCAGCTTGTTTTCGACTTGGTAGCGGAGCTGGCTACACTCTCGTGTGGCTGGCTCTCGCTCTGATTCCTGTAATCCACGGCACAACTTGGTGGACTACTACTACGGTGGAATACCATGTTGCGCCGGCTCTGCGAGGAGCGGAGCCAGTCCGCGATCGAGCTAGCGGGGTAACCCGCGAACTCGAGACGCTTTCTCCTACTTCACTGCGCTACTTCACTCCCGACTTCCACCAGATGCCAATCGGCAACTCGATCGAGACCGTGGTCACCCTGCGGGGCTACCCGCAGCGGGGCCACCTGCATCCCGTGCCGGTCAGGCGCCTCACGGCTACCACGCCAGAGCCTGACAAACCACAGCCTAAACCAATCACCGAAGCCGAAATGCATATGCATGGGATCAAGATAACTATCTTCGGCATTCTATGGGTGATAATGGGATGTGCTGTGGGATACATGCGGCAGGGGATGGACGACACGCGTACTTCTGGCCCTTCATGGGACCCTGCCGGTACTACGCCTTTCCGCGAATACGTTCGCGAAGTACATGCATGGTTAAACGTAACGAGCGGCAATATGACACCACCACAACAAGCTGCAGCACTACAACGAGGCCTTCAGGGTCTGGCTCGTCGAATCGCCATGCAGGTCCCCTCCCAGATCATCAATTATGGTGTAACTGTCAATGGACAGCCAACGGATGCAGTAACCTACATACTGTACTTACTGAGCACCAAAATTGAAAATCTGGAAGATGAGCGCCAGCTCAACTCTGGCACGGCCCTTATCGACTTCCGCGTCGAAAGGGGCGAGCGAATCGACTCAGTATTAGCTCGATTCGAGATGGCCCGTGACGAGGCTAACTCTGTAGGCTTTGTCATCCCCAACTTTCAGATCCTAACGCTGATTCTCTTCAGAGCGTTAGGCGTTGGCGCGTCACGAGCCCAACACCTGCTTGAGCCCTTCAATCATCAGATGCCCCGAACACCAGCAGACTATGACAGGCTGTTGACCAGGATGAGGAACTACGGACATGTTGCCGAGCGCTCTCCTGGTAACATAGCGGGTATCTTCACAGGGCACCACTCACATGCAGGTGTTTACGCCACGACTGCGGGGTCACCCGCTGGTCCTGGCGAGCCAAATCCCAGGGCTGACCCAGCCGATATGCCCAACGAGGCCACTGCCCTTCTAGGGCAGACCGGCCAGGTATCGGCAGAGGCAGCTGAGGCAAACGCCTGGTCGAACTACTCGCCAGGCGCCGCCTACACTGCAAGCCCGCCCTCGGGCACAACCCTCTGGGGCCAAGCGGAGTCATCCGCTCAATGGTCTCAGCCACCCTCACCGTTTGAATCTGGCACTGACACAGATACCTCATCTGACGATGAGCACAATGGAATAGTCTCCGCTGGTAATGACTATCCAGCGGACGACACTCACCTTTCTGAACAGCAAAGGGCGGAAGCCGCCTTTATGGCTTATCGCAAATCAAAACGCCGTTGGAGGCGCTTTATGAAGAAACCAGTCAGAAAGGTGAGACGTGCAGTACGCAGACATTTCAAACAATTTGGAAAGGGTCGTGGTAAAGGGGGTCGCAGACGCCGTATGCATGGTAGGGGTATTACTGCTTTCCTCACGTCCTTAACTGATATGGCTTTTGAAGAAGTTCTTATCGGAGGCAAAGGTCGGGGTCACAGGCGGACCTCCGGTAAGGGAAAGGGGCGGAGGGGCAACCCTAGGGACGCTTCTGGTAATACTATGAAGTGTCATGCATGCGGTAGCACAGAGCATTTGCGCGATCAATGCCCGAAGGGGAAAGGAAAGGGATCCGTGCACTTGGCTCAAAATTCTTTTATGGATGACATAGATTACATTGACTACGAGTTTTACGTCAATCCAGAAGCGGCTCCCGCTGCGGGCTCCTCCACGTATTACGTGATGGCCCGCTATGCTGAAGCAACTGTGGCCCTGGAAGACTACGCAGTGACCCTCTTCGACGAGTTCCGCGGCTGGGACGAGGTCGATGAGATCGCGTACAATGCTTGGTTCGGTCTTCCAGCGGGGCCACCCGCCGGTGACGAGGTCTCCGAAGCCGAGACCGTCCCGGCAACAGAGGAAGAACTCACAGCCGTGCTGGCCCCACAAGTCTTTGGCATGCCGTTGCTGCCAAATCCGTCGTGGGCTGGTTCGGAGATGGGAGACGCCGATGACGAAATGCGGTGCCATCCCGCGTATTCCGATTCCGAAGAATCCGAAGAAGATTATAACGACATGCTCCAAGGACAGGTTTCAGAAGCAATTCGACTCTTGAGTGCGCCAGCACAGCAGCAGATGACGATGAACGAACTGCTGTCACACCCAGGAGTTGCCCGTCTACGTCCATACTTGGATTCGAACATGTCAGCATCACAGACGCTTACAGCACTCCAAGCTCTAGCGGGGTCACCCGCTGAAGAGATGCCAGACACAACAGCGGGGCCACCCGCTTGGTCTATGGACGTATTCATGCAAGGTTGTGATCAAATGAACATTAACGACCTCTCGATGGAGCAGTTAAATGACATCGGATACTTCAGAAGCCCTTATCAAAACGTGTTCATGGTCCAGGACAGCTCAGAGGACTCGGAGGACATGCGTTACGCCAAGAGGGACAGGCGACCGTCGCCTCCCCGAGACTCAGAGCATGACGATCAAAGGCCAATGACACGTGGTAGTGCGTCAGCGGGGCCAGCCCGCGGAAGGAGCCCCTCACTGCTAGAGCTAAGCTGATGAAGCTAAGCATCACATACAGACTGTTTTTTTTTTTTTTTTTTTTTTTTTTTTTTTTTTTTTTTTTTTTTTTTTTTTTTTTTGTTTTTTTTTTTTTTTTTTTTTCTTTTGTGTGTTTGTTTTTGGGGGGGTGTGTCTCTTCGTTGTGTTTTTGTTTTCTTTCTCTGGTTCTTTCTGGTCCCCTCGGTTTTTTTGGGGGGGAGCACTCCGTTGGAGTATCTGCTCAGCAGGTGCCGGATTGGTACGTCAGATGGTACCCCGATTACTCTATGGATACTCTTCGGCATTGGTATTCTAAGGAATACTGCACCAAAAGGGACGAAACTGGCGCGATAATCCGTGCCAAGGGTGGCAAGACCAAGACGCCAGAGGCCTGGGACAAAAGGGCGAAGAAGCAGGAAATCATCACTGACCGCAAAACATACAGAAAACAAGTATGTCAGTGTGAGCCCTTCAAAGGCCACATGCGCAGGTGTCCGATGGACCGCCCCTCCAGGAGCCCTCACCATGGAGAGACCCCGTGGAATTGGTCTCATGGAGACGACGCGGGTAACGTCCATGACCCGAACAAAGAGGTTCCTGGAGGAGGAAAGCGCATCACAGAGGCCGATCGCGTCCCTATGACCGAAGAGGTGGCCAACACCGTCAGGGAAAATTGGGCAAAGCTTCCCAATGACCACCGCCTCAAGGAATGGAACCGCCGATTCCATAAGGAAGCGGGGTCACCCGCAGAATCCAGTAAGGAAGCGGGGTCACCCGCAGAATCCAGTAAGGAAGCGGGGTCACCCGCAGGATCCAGCAAGGAAGCGGGGTCACCCGCAGAAGCAGCACCAGCCGCTGGATCTGCGGACGAGTGGATAGACGTTGTCTCTGCTGCCGGGTCCGCCGCCGGCACTGGCCGCACCGAGCTAAATGAAGAGTGGGCGGCGGAAGACGGTTCAGAGAATCCATTCCCTGACGGAAGCGCCTGCTGGTACTGCAGCTCTTCGGCGCAGAAGTGGTTCTGCACGAGGGTACTCTACCGCCATGAGAATGGCAAGTACAAGCTGGCCATAAAGGGTACTGCCGACATCGACCAGATGAGGCAGGTCATCCATGATCATGGCCAGCCAGAAGGCCCTCCTAGAGACCCTCCTGGTCCGCGACCAGGCAAGAGCAGCAGACCACCGCCAAGACCTAAAGCCGACTCCTCGTCTTCACCGACTCCTGCGAAAAGGCAACCGTCCAAGAGCCCCGAAGGCACGCGTGAGCGGGCGAAGGCCAGAGGGATTGCCAAGACGGACGATCCTGAGCCGGCAGGTCCTCCCGGTCCGTCCGTGACAGAGAGGAAGAAGGCTTTTGCTGGACCATCGACCCCGATGCCGCCGGCGACCCAAGGCGATGTCAAGGACGAAGCTCGCGACAAGCCTAAGGCAGCTTTCCGAGGTGATTGGACTCCAACTCTGCATCAGCCGCGCCTTGCACCGCGACCAGGTTCGGCACGAATGAAAGCGCAACCAAAGCCCGAAGCTGGGATGAGGTCGGTGCGGGCAGAAGCGGCCGCCAAGGCTAAGGAGGACAAGGGCTCTGCG